CACAGGTCTCTCCAGAAACAAAAAGGACTCGGTGTTAACACCAGGATGTCAGGCTATGCCTGGGTTTAAGGTTGTGTTGGAGCCGTGCCTTTATTAATTTTCCTAGTTAAAATGTGTGTCTCTTCCTAAATAAACCCAGTAAGTGTTGGGTAAAGAGATAATTCATCCTAGAATGGCAAACCCTATTCCTCACAGAAGTTACCCACCTAATTAGAAATCTATTGTATCACTGTTGTCACTCAAAGACCAGAGAGCACAGGGCATGACGTCTAGGACTCAACAGGGAAAAAGGGCCATGAAGTCAGGTCCTGGTCACCAGGAGAAAGGGGCACCCAGAAGACACAGGGTCTTGGGAGGTGATCCCTGGAGATTCAAGGCTTCCTTTTCAAACAGGAAATGGGCTGTCTGTGCTGTGGCATCGGGGATAAAGAGTTTCAAGCTAAAGGGACTCAGGCCAGAACAGTGGAGAAGACTTCACCTGGAGCAAAGGCCTCGTGCACAAAACTGTGGGGCCAGCCACACATCCACCTGGAGTCCACGCAGGGCAATTGGGCAAGTCTAGGTCACATGACTTCATCTGAGTCATAACCTGAAGGGCCATAAGGGTCACACTAAGGAGACCTGTCTCTGATGTCAAAACACCTGGCTGCTTTCTGGTCTCTGCCCCCCACTAGCTGCGTGCCCTTGGTCAAGAGACTTGACTTCTGTGGTCCCACTATGTGCAGCTGGGGAGAGATGGCAACCCTACCTGCAGGGAGGAAGACCACACATCTCAGTTTGCTGCTGCCCTGGCATTCCTTGCATTTTGTGGCCTCTTCTCCCTGCTGAGGTGCCCCAGTTGGACACTAAATTTAATCATCTCTATCCTCAATGTAGTAAAGACAAAGAAAAGTGGTCACCAGTGCTCTGCAGGGAGTGAGCGCTGTTTCAGTATTTGCCATCATGCTCTCCAGGACCTGGAAGATATAGCACAGGGAGCAGCTGGGTGTTGAGAAGGTCCATAGGCCAACACTGTGTAGACTGTTCGAAAGAGAAGATCTGATTAAACTGTATCTCATGAAGCTCTTTTAAGGAGTCAGAAAGATATCAGGTAAGAATGGATCCAAATATGGTGCTTAACTTTCAACTTTGACCTTTCCCCTCGTATCTGAACGGGATGATCTCTGCGTCTCTTGGAGGATGGAGAGGAGCAGGGAGTTCCATCGTCTGTAGTGGTCCTCGTAGGCCTCCAGGGTTTAATGGAAGAGCGCTCTCAGGTTTATAAATAATTGCTGTCAGCTGACATGCAGCTAGCACCTACTCTGTGCCCAGCCCTGTTCTGAGGACTTCTGGGCTGCAAGTCATTCAGGCCTCACAACAAGCCTAGGCCTCTTCCCCTTGTACCAAGAGACCTCGTGGTGACAGCCCACAGCAGGCTTGGCTCAAAGCATGGGAAGCACCAATAGCAATAAACCTCTCACTGCCATCAAGATGTCTCCAGGCCCAGGGGCTGTCGTGCATTTCGTCCTGGGAAAGCAGCTCCCCAGCCAGCCTCCAGATGCTGGCAGGATCTTAAGGAAGAAGAGGCTCACCTCCAAGGACACCGTTGACCTCAGAAGCGAGGGGCAGAGCCCGTTTACAGATCTGGGGGGAAAGTAAAGCGGAAAGTTCCTTGTGTCAAAATACCGTAGAACTAACTTCTTCAATTAACAACGAGTGAGAAATTCAAGGATTATACACTAAAGATCCTTGTGTCGGTTTTATTCTCAGTGAATCACTGAGAATGAAAATATATCTCACTGAATGTCATTACTTTTATTAAGGATGGCAAGACCTCAAATGAAGAAGATTAGTGTGGGTCCCCTTAGGTCTTGGTTGAGCCCAAGTACTGGTCAAATAGAATTCTACCCGCACATTAGTCCCCCTCTGACTGGATAGCTCACCTCTACAGCATGGTCTGTCACAGCAGGTGGCCAAAAGATGTCACACCCACACGGAAACCAAAGTTGACTTCCGTGCTCCAGTTTAATAACTGAATTTGGGGACCTGAGTCTAAGGACCTTTGGGAGCAGAGACCATCAGACCAGCAATATGAGCATGTGACCTTTTGGTTTATCTATTTCTGCTGTGAACACGTCTTTTAAATGAGTCTCTTGTGAGCTGAGTCATGATTCTTGGACACACCTGAGAACCTACATCATGGGATTTGGAGAAAACATGGAAGTAAAGAAACACAGACTCAGTGTCCATGGCAGGGAGTTGCTTCTGCCAGGAGGCCCAATGTCCAGCAGACAACAGGCCAGGCCCATAACCACGGGGAACCAGCAGAGCCCTCCTTGGGTCCTGTTCAAGGAGGAAGTCTCCCATTCATTATGAATGTCATTCATGTGCCTTTGGAATGATGGCCAACAACGGTCAACTGGGAGAGAGTACACACAGAAGAACACCACCTTCCTTATTCCTAGCATCTTCCTAAGTCAATATTGTGCTTGGCAACTTGGGGTGCAGCTGAATGATGGAAGAAATGGGCCCCAAAACATCCACAGAGAGGACAGTGCATTCAAGGCTCATTAAGTATTGGCTCACTTCTCAGGGTCTCATCCATGTCTCTTTCTTTACTTGAAGCCACGATGGCTGTCTGGTTGCTCCATGCGGGCACCACTTACACCGATGTGAGTTTTCTCTCTCATGAGGCGTCCTGCCTGTCTGACAACGAGAGGCACACTCTCCAGGCTTCACTTCCCTTGCCGAGTGCCATTCCACTCAGGGCCTCCGTATCTGCTATTGCTGCTTCTAGAAGACTCCTATCCAGCGGGTCCCTGGAAGTCACTGTTCACTGATGCAGGAAATGGTACACAACCTACAGAGTCCTGCCGGGATTGTCTGTCGGGAACTCCTTCAGGATGATGCCCTAGCGGTTTCCTGTTGTTCACGACACAATCTCTTTCCTTTATCTCATCCTAGAGGCCCGGTGCATGGAATTCCTGCAAGGGGGGGCTGGTGGTGTCCCTCAGCCCGGCCTGCATCCTCCTCAATTGCATCAGTAGTATTGGGCCTAAGTGGGAAATCGGACATCCATCTCATAATCCAGGACTGTTAGTTCCCAACTGCTCATCTATCTGGCTTCCAGATTGTCCCTAACTGCTTCTGCCTGCCAGGCTGATTGCCCCTAACTGCATTCTCCTGCAGGCCTGGTCATCTCTAACTGCCCTCCCATGAAAGCCTGGTCACCCCTAACTGCTCTCACTTGCAGGCCTGCTTCCCCTCAACTGCTTTCCTCTGTAGGCCTGGATCCCCAAAACTGCCCTTCCCTACTGGCCTGTTTGCCGCCAACTTCCATCCTCTGCCTGCCTGATCACCCCTAACTGCCCTCCCTTACTGGCCTGATCATCCACAACTGCCCTCCCTTGCAGGCCTGTTTTTCCCAACTGCCCTCCTCTGCTGGCCATCTTGAGGTGGCCTTTTGGTATCCACATGGGGGCAACCATCTTTGACCATAGTGGTCAGCCATTTTGTGAGTTGGAGTGGTGGGCAATTGACATTTTACTCTTTTATTAAATAGATTTCAATGGGAAGCTTGTTTGTTGACTTCAAGTTTGAGTTGAGCTGCACAGGTGCAAGGTCTCAGCCTACCTCGTCTGTATATCTGAATCCCTGACACGAAGCACAGGACCCAGGCTTAGGAGAATGATGGTTGTTATGAGCGTGGATGCTTAAAGGGATGGATGGATGGATGGATGGAAGGATGGATGAATGATTGGATGGATGGAAGGATAGGTGAGTGGATAATAGGTGGATGGATGGATGAATGGAAGGATGGATGAATGATTGGTGGATGAATGGATGGATGGAAGGATGGGTGAGTGGGTGATAGGTGAATTGATAGATTAATGGATGGAGGGATGGATGGGTGGATGAAAGGATGTATGTATGTGTGCCTGGATGGATGCATGGATGTGTAGATGAATCTTCTAGGTTAGTTATGATTACCCTTCCTAGGCCCTGTGCTTGGTTTCTACATGGAGTGCCTTGCATTCATACAAAAGCCGCCTCGGTGTCATTCATGCTCATTGTGGAAATTGAAGCTCAGGACAAGATGCACTGTCTTTCCTAAGGTCATCTCGTGGTTAGCGGTGGCATCCTAGATGCAAATCCATATCTGCACGCACCCAGATATCTCCCACCATCCAGTGCTGCCTCTCCCAAGCATCAGCGATTCAAGTTCTCACATCATCTCCTGAATGAGTGGAAGGAAAACCCTAAAGCTAACAAAACTGAATAAAATATAACTCTGCATTCATAACTTTCTACGTTCACAACATTCATAAATTTCTAGAGGTGGTTTAACTAAGTGAGATCGTCTTTGTACAAACAACCTTTAACCAAGGTTGGAAGCTATTGCTATTTCCCAGCAAAAGCACATTACTTAGTCCATGGGTGAGGAACGTGTGCCCTCCACAGGTGCTGGCTGGTATTGCACCCAGCCCAGGTGCAAGGTGAGGCAGGAGGCCCAGGAAGAGAATGTGAAGATCTCTGTGCCTTATAGAAGCAGAAGAAAACAGAGAGGAGTAAGGGGGCTAGAGGGAGAAGGGGAGGGGAGGAGACAGGTGGACGGGGAGGAAGAGCTGGAGGAGGAGGAAGAGGTAAATGAGGACCCAATATTAAAAAAACAAGGATGGCAACACAGACGCACAATGTTGTAACTTACTTTATTTAGTAAGCATTTCAGCATTAATTTTATGTAATTTCATTACCATGATTGCTGTTATGAAATCTATGAGAGTTTTTAAGGCTCTGACTTCTTGGTTTATACAAAGAGACCATAAGCTGGCAGGGTTCTAGATGATTCTCACGTCCTTCTTGGACCGATGCCAGGTACATCTCATGACACATTCCATCATCTGTGGGAGGGACTAAGTGGCCATCAGGTAAATAAAAGGAGGGTCAGGGCTCTCACCTCCAAAGTGAGTCCTTCTTCCCTGCCACGTCCGAGTGACCAGCCAGCAGCAGCTGCCTGAGCCATGAAGCTGGTGATAGTGCTCATGCTGACCGCCCTCCCCCTTTTCTGCTATGCCGGTGAGTATGACAGCCCCAGGCTTTCTGGGGAGGTAGGTGTCAGGGCCCCTGGGGCAGACCTCCTGCTCTTCTAGCCCCAGCCCAGAGCGCCTCATTTCTCTGCCTTCTTCTTGCCTCCATCGTGTTTGGCTCTCTGGGCTGTGAAAGCCATGGAGCTGGGGCGTTGGGTGCGGGAGGCGGGACAAGGAGGGAGATGTCCTGGGGCCAGAGAACACCCTAGACCCGGAGTTAGCTCTCCCTGAAGGGAGGACTCGGACCATTGTCCATAAGCTCCCTGAGTGTCTGTCTCTGCTGGGAGGTAAGAAGATGGCCATCGTCCTGGCTACGCCCAGCAAGGAGGTGGTGCCTTCGGATCTGAGCCGGCTTTTGTGTGCTTTCTTCCCAGGTTCTGGCTGCCAAGACATAAATTATGTGTTTAAAAAGCTCCTTGATCCCCAAGAGTCCAAAACTGAATTCATCCTAGACGTTGAGGAGTTCATCAATAGTGGAATTACTGAGATGGCCCTCAAGGAGTTTAAGCAGTGTTTTCTCGACCAGAGCGACGAAACCCTGAACAACTTTGGCGATCTGGTGGTAATGGTGGCTTCTTCTTCCCGCTCTGGCTGCTCTGGCCGGGGACCAGTAGTCTCTCAGTTCTCTACTAACTACTTTTTTCTTAGTCACTATTTTTTAAGATGTATTTTTATTGATTTCAGAGAGGAAGGGAGAGGGAGAGAACGAGAGAAACTTCAGTGATGAGAGAGAATGATGGGTTGGCTGCCTGCTGCACGTCAACTACTGAAAATTGAGCCCACAACCGGTCATGTGCCCTTGACTGGAATCAAACCCAGGTCCCTTCAGTCCGCAGGCCAGTGCTCTATTCACCGAGCCCATCCAGCTAGGGTGGTACTGGCGTCTTGATAGCAAGTGTTGGTCACGCTTCATGTCATCTCAGCGAATGCGGTTCTTGGGAGTGTGAACAGTCTGACATCCAGAGAGCCATGCAAGAGGCAGGGCTGCTGTGCCTGCTCATGCGGAGGAGACTGTATGTGAGAAAGTCCACGGGGGAGGAGAGCGTGTGGCAAAGGCTTGCCTACCCTTCATCCCCCAACCTCTAATTCTGGAGAGGACGCTTGAGTTTAAGAGTGAGAAACACACGTAGGAAAGCATTTTAAAGCATTTTCTCAAGCTCTAGGCCAGTGGTTGGCAAACTGCGGCTCGCGAGACACATGTGGGTCTTTAGCCTCTTGAGTGTGGCTCTTCCACAAAATACCACGACCTGGGCGAGTCTGTTTGGAAGAAGTGGCGTTAGAAGAAGTTTGAGTTTAAAAACTTTGGCTCCAAAGAAATTTCAATCATTGCCCTGTTGATATTTGGCTCTGCTGACGAATGAGTTTGCCAACCACTGCTTAGGTGGTTTGGCTCAGGGCATTGAGCTTTGACCTGGGGACTGAAGGGTCCTGGGTTTGATTCTGGTCAAGGATTCATGCTTAGGTTGCGGGCTCAATCCCCAGGAGGGGGTGTGCAGGAGGCAGCCAATCAATGATTTTCTCTCATCATTGATATTCCAGTCTCTCTCTCCCTCTCTGAAACCAATAAAAATACATTTTTGAAAAAAGACTTTTCTCAAGAGAGCAGAGAGTTACATGTCATGAAGAGCCCACTCTCAGGAGCGTGGTGCCCAGGCCCTTGAGCACCCACGTCTGCCAGTGTGCATGACCGGATGTCCTGGGCAGCAGGAGGGCCCGTGAGTGGAAACCTTGGAGGTGGGATCATTGAAAAACATAGTCAGTGTAAACGATGAGACGGTCTTTCTATTTAGAGCAGATAGGGCTCAGTTCTTTCCTGGGGTTCATTCCCCCCAAATAGCCATGGGAACAGGCCAGAGCAGCCAGGGGAGCGCTGGCCTCAGCAGAGACACACTGTGTGTGACGAGGTGCTTTCTAACGCCGGCTGCTGACGAGCTGGGGAGCTGAGGAATGTGGGGAAAGGCACTGCTGGGCTGTGTGCGGTGGCAGGTCTCTAAGGCACAGGCAGAGCGTGACTGCAGGGTAGGGTAAAGGGAAAGGGGGAAGCACAGGGCCTGGCGCTGCCCTTTGGTGAGAGGAGAGGGTGTTGGAGGAGGGGACCATGACAAGATGAAGCTGTACATGGAGGAGGGAAGGGTCCTGCTTGTGGGACAGGCCTTCACCGGGGTTCCACCTGAAAGCCTCAGCACCCTCGAGGGGTGATGGCCTTCTCTTTATAAACGGGGGTCAAACAAGCCCCTCAAGTGCGAGTGTCCTCAGCTCCGTGGCTACAAGCATCAGGGTGCAGACCCGCAGCCCAACACATGCACATGGGGCTGAGACATGGAGCAGGGGCAGCACGGCCTGGGCATGGGAGGCCTCGTTCACTACGGAGGAAGCACGCAGGGACCGGCTCCCAGGGCCCCAGGGGTTCTGGGGGGGGGGGCGATAGACAGGTCTGGGCAGCGAGGCCTTGGCCTCAGGCTGTGCCTCCCGAGCCCCAGAACAAGTGGAGATCCTGGCTGAACCCCCGCTCGGCTCTCTCCGTGGCAGGAGGACAGGGAGAGGCCATGTCTGTGCTTAGGATGGCTTGGGGAGAGTGGGAGGGAGTAACTCTGTCTGTTTTTTAGCAAATCATATTCGACAGCGAGCAGTGTGCCGCCTACTAGCCCACAGACCTTCCTTGGACCACAGAGAATGGCCGGACGGCAACTTTCCCCTACTGAGACCACAGCTTAGCTCCCCTCTGGGCCTTTTGATCCTGAAACCGCAAGACATTGTTGAAACCTCCTGCACATTCATTTCAATAAAGCACCAGCACACCAGCGCTCTCTTTGCTTACTGACCTGAACGGGCCTCAGGAGACACCCCACACTGCGCTGTGCACACCCTGGGCCCCGGGCTCAGTACAGAGTCCTGGCTGAGACGCGGGATCTGCAGGGCGCCCTGCCCATGACCATCCGAAGCCCAACAGGATCCTGACCCTGGGAAAGTGCCCCCCAAACACTTTCAGGGACCCTCTGGGCTGAGCTTAGGGTCCAGGAAACCCCATGTCCTCACCACACTGCGTTCTCTTCCAGGGCTGGGGTCCCTTCTGGGTGATCCCTGTCCCTGACCGAGGGGCGGCGGGAACAGAGCAGTGAGATCGTGGTCTCTGCAGAGCAGGGCTGCATCCTGGCTGAACGCCCTCCCACTTCTCCAGACACCCTGGACCCCTGACACCACTTGTCCCAGGCAAAGAACCCTTTCCCCAACCCACATCTTATGGCTTACCCAACACACACACATATGCACACACACACACACACACACACACACACACACACAAACACATGCAAACACATGTGCACTCACATGCAGTTCTTCAGTGAGAATGGCCTGCAGTCTTGGCCTCTGAGGCCTGTGAGAAGTTGCCTTTGCTCCTGCTGGGCCTGGCCCTGTGAAGAGGCGCCTGTCCCTTTGCAGTTGGCGCGGACATTGTGGTGGAGCTGCTGACGGCCCTGGGTTCTGAAAGTTGCTGAGTTAAAGTAAATGGTACCTCAGATGAAAACTCTGTATGTTTTCATGTCTAAACCTGACGAGCACAGAGTTCTGAGTGGACACAGACTGGACATACTGTCCTAGTCCGCTCAATCCGCTTCAGGAGCTACATAGACCAGGAGGACTAAGCAAACATTTATTGAGACTGAAAACTCCAAGGAAAAGGTGCCAGCAGAGTCGGAGTCTGAGGAGGCCCTGCCCAGCCCACCCATATCCCAATTGGGGGCAGACCTGGCCCGCAAACCTCTCACATCCCTTTCTCCCAGCAGAACCCCAGCCATGTGTGAATTCGTGACCTGGCCTCTAGTAAAAGTATAAGCAGAAGAAGGGAAATAACAAAGGTGGAGCAGAAATCAATGTCACTGGGAAAAAGTTATAGAAAACATTTAAATCAAAAGCAGCTTCTTAGAGAAGCTCAAAAACAATTCATACACCTGTCTAGACTGAACAGAAAAAGGAGAAAGGAATGGCCAAATGCCAAAAATGATGGAGATGAAAGCACTCCTTTGAATAAGCTCAAGTGTAAAACTATTTTTAGAGATGACTTGTAGAGAATCTCAGAGTGTCTACAAAAAGGTTAAGGGAGTTTAGCATGGTAGCAGGATATAAGATAAATATACAAAAATTAATTATATTTCTATATTCTTGAATAGAAAGTGCAATTCACAGTAATGTCTTATTAAAAATCTTAGGAATCCTACCTAATAAAAAGGAAGTATGCTATGACTGCCACACCCTCACAAAGATGGCAGTGCCCACAGCCAATAAGGAGAGAATATGCTAATTGACTGCCATGTCCTCAAAGATGATGGCACCCAGTTCCCTCAGCGCCCTGGCCATCCAGGACCGGCCCCAGGTGCAGGCAAACTTTGGATGTTGCCTGCCCATCCGCCCAGGGCCGCCTGAGGCTCACTTAACCCGGGGCAGCCAATGCTTGCACTTTTGGCAGTGGCAGCAGCAGAGATGTGATAGGGGCATCACCTTGCCCTGATTACTGGTTTGTCTCCCACCCCTGAGGGTGCCAGGAACCAATTCCAGCATGTAATAATTACAAAAGGTTTGCCAAAAGGTTGGTGGAGCTTGGGCAGTTCAAGGGTGAGCCACATATGTAGTTTACCTTATGGAATGGCTAAATGGTATCTTCCCCGAACCTTAATAGGATTATCTGCTACCAGGCAGCTCAGGGCATTTTATTGCCTCCAGTTGGTCAAACACCTGAACAGCTGTAGGCTATTCCTCAAACTGACAATGCTTCTGTATACGCTTTGAAACCTTACCCTTTGAAGTGTATATCTCCACCTTGCCTTAGGACAAATTGTGCTAATAAATAGTATGGGGTCCTAGACAAGGAAGTAGTCTTCTAGCTCCTTCAGCTGAAGCTCCTCTGACCTCCAATGCCTTTCCAAATGATCTTTTGTCTTTGGACTCCTCCTTGAATCTATGCATCAGCCCCTTTCTCCAGAATGCTGAACCCTTTGTAAGGCTGGGCAAAGAACCCTGGCATATGGCGCCTGAATGAGACACACCAGTACATGAGGGCTCCCAGACTGTGAGAGGGGGCAGGCTGAGCTGAGAGAACCCCACTTCCAGTGCAGGAATTTTCGGGCCTCTAGTAAAACTTAATAAAAGACACGAAAGACCTGAGAGTAAAATATAAAATATTGCTGAGAGGAGTTCATGAAGACCTACAAGGAATACACACAGTGTTCGTGGATAGGAAGCAATATCATTAAGATGTCAGTTTCCTCCATGTTGATTTATGGGTTTAAGGCGATGCACTCTCAACCGAAGTCCAGATAGGCTTGTTTTATTTTGGCAAGTTGATGACAAATCTGGTTGCAAAGTTCATATTTAACTGCAAAGGACCTACAATTGTCAAAGCAATTTTGAAAAATGAGAACATTTGGAGGGGTAATACGACATGACTTCAAAATGTATCACAAAGCTACAGTAGTCAGGACAGCATGGTATTGATGTAAAGATGAACAAACAGATCTAAGGATCTGTAGCGTCCAGAAACAGAACTCTGTCTAATGGTCACGCAGCTTTTCACAAAGGTGGATGAGCGAGCAATCTTGTGTGGGAAGGATGCGTTTCAACAAATTGTTATGAAACAACTGGATATAATAAAAAATCTCCAGCTCCACCAGTACATCAGATTTAACTCCTGACCTTAAATCATAGGACTGACTAAATGTAAAATCTAAA